TCTTTTCCTGGTGGTGATTGTACACAGCTCCCATTTAGTATAAGCTAAATGGAGTGGGGAATAGCTTCAAAACTATGTCTAAGGACATTTTCAAAGCTTCAGTATGTTGGTGGCAAATACAGGTACCAGACAGATGAATTTATGTGACTTGCAGCTATAAGGTAATGTATTCATAAATGTTACTCAGGTTAAAGGTATTTAAGGCTATAGTAACATACCCTAGTTGTAAATATGCTGTCGACCAAAATAGCTTCCCTCCTGTTTTCCTTTGTAAAAACCCATTCATGACTGCTTATCTGTTCACAGTATGAAAATCATTGCCTAGAAAATAGGTATCTCTGCATTAACTTCTTAGTGGTCACTAGAGGTCTCTCTAATGCTTCCTAAAAGAGTAACCAGATTTCTTACTCCTTGAAGCAATTACTGTCATCAACATGCTTAATTTCAACATGTAAAGAGCCCAAATGCTGCAGTCCCAGGGTCTCCACTTTCATTTTCCATTAGAATTGAAAAGCAATTTTAAGGTTGTTCTGTTGCTATTTTGAAGGCTATTGTGAAAAACATAGCAGAAAAGGGGTTAGCATCTTTATTTTTATATCAAAGATAAAGGTTATTTTAAAATTATTAGGATTTCTATGCAACTTGAAACTCTCTGTTGCTTTTGTAAGCAAATTATGTTGGGTCTTTGAGTTTTGTGTTTTTCTACTTAAAGCCAATTGTAAGCCTCACATGACTTTCTGGAATAAGTTAATTGAGAAAAACTGATTAAACTCTTGTACATGGCATAAGAATTTTTTAATGGATTAATTCAAGGTTCTTTTTTTCTTCCAGTGTCTTTAGTGCTAAAGAAAAGCTACTGTCTTGTTTAAACTAATAGCTTAACTTCCGAAATAAGAATTAGCACACTTAAACAAACAAGATGGTGGGGGACAGGAAGCCAGCTGTTGAGTGGCATCCCTGCTGTCTTAGGAAGCTTTTTTCCCCATAGTGCCTATAGTTTCCAAAGAAACTTAACTTCCTAACTGTGTTAACTTAATTTTATTGGAACACTACAATTTAGTGAGAATGTACAAAAGTTGTCAGTGGAATAGAATGTTGTCCTGAGGTAATGGCCTCCTGCTGCTACCTAAATGCTAAAGCTGGGTTGAGGTGTTCTTCAAGGCCAGCTTAATCCTGTGTCAATCTGTTTCACAACTTAATTCTTGTTCTACCAAATTACTGATTGTGACTTATCCTTGTACTAGGTGTTTGTATAGTAGAATGAAGGTTATTTATTACTTACCTACTTTCTCCCAAGTGGTTTAAGGTAGAGACCTCCCTTGTGCTTTAGCCAACTGGAAAGTGAATTTGCTCAAAAGTACTAACCGTTTTTTGTTTGCTTTGGAAAAATACTTAATATTGTACTGATATGATGAAGACCAGGCCTCTATCAGAGGACACAGACCTCACCTTGAACCTACTTGGAACAAAACTCTTCCAGCCACATGTGGTAATAGTTGGTGGCTGGATGTGTCTCTCCAGCATAGCAACAGGTAGACACAACCCTGAGTCATTCTCAGGCTTATTCTGTCTTCAGTCAACTCTGAAATTAAAATCAAAACAAAAGGACTTGGGGACCCAGAGGTGAATTGTTGGCCTGATGAAGAGTTGCCCTAAACTGATCTCCTTCCTAAAACTATGTCTGGTCAGTTGGTTGAAACTCACATTTAGCATCTGAATTATAAGGCACAGTTGCTGGTAGGTGAGTTTAATGTCTTAATCTATGCATTCAGAGAAATATTTTTATATGCTTTGTGTAATTTATAACAAGGATTTTTTTTAGCTTTGTTAACTGTGAATCTCCCCCAACTGCATAATTAAAGCATGTGTTCACACCGTGTATAAACATCTGAAGGTTTTTCTCTTCATGCATTGCTGACTATTTAAACATAACAAGTATTATTAAAATTAAATATTAACTGCCTGAAGTCTGGATTATTTCATTCCTGATTTTTATTAAAACAAATACAAAACCACATCTGTAAACTAGGAGAAAGTCTCAGGGAAAGTCTCGGGAGAAAGAATCTTTGGAATAATAGACATTTACCACTCCTGGACCTCCTGCTGCAGCCACATTGTCATTGTCACCCAGAGGTGGACATTTTGTTTAGTGTCCTTTCCACAGTCCATAGCAGAAGCCTTTATCTCCCCAGAGAAGTCAAGCATTCAAGATATAGAAGTCATTACTGAATGACCAAATTTTGTGTTAATCCCATTTAAATTACACAACAGAGACTGACTTGGGCTGTCAGCTTCTGTCATGGAACCAATAAGAGCAGAGTCCTTCAAGGACAGGAAAGGAGGAGCAAGCTGACATCTTCGGGTCTTTGACCAGGAAAGATGCAGAATTTATGTTGTTTTAAAGAAGCCAGAGCCTCAAAAAGTAGGCCTCATTCCAAATTGGCCTAATAAATCAGAATGCATCACTGAGACCTTTTCTTAGCACCAACTAGAGGCAGAATAATTTAGGCATGTGTGTTCTCATAGTTGTTTGATCATAAGGATAGAAGACTGCCCCATGCCCATAAAGATCTGAAAAGAAGCAGCCTGCCAAAAAAAATGTGATTAACCTTTTAACAAATGGTCCTGCAGCAGAGACTGACCCAGAGTATGTGGGAAAACTAGATCAAAGAAAGTATATATACCAGCTATAAACCCACTCAAGGCAAATTAAAGCAAACCCAGAAGCAAAGAAGTCATAACATACCGAAAAGAAAAGACATGATATAGGGAGATGACTCTCTCCACCCTCCCAACACTCCCAACTCCCTCCTCCCTCCAGAAAAAAAAGCAACCAAGCCTTAAATAACAAAGAAGAGAGATTTGTTTCATTTCACAAGCTTGGTACTTGAAGCGAACTTTGCCCAAAGAAATAAACCTGTTTTCATTCCCCTGTTTAAAGATTTAGGATTTACCATGGGAGCTTAGGTAGTACAGAGGGAGAAGAGAAGGAGGCTCAGGATAGAACCCTATGTGACACCTAAGGTTAGAGGACATGATCTGGAGGAGGGTCCAGCAAAAGAGACAGAGAAGGAATGGTCATATAAGTAGAAGGAGAACCAGAAAAGAGTGACATCCCAAAAACCAGAGGAAGAGGAGAGGAGAGGGGAGAAGAGAAGGGAATCTAGAGCCCCGTGGGACACTCATGGTTAGCAGGTATGACTTGCATGAAAATCTAGCAAAGGAGTCTGAGAAGGAAAGGTCAGATGGGTAGGGGGAGAACCAGGAGAGAGTGGGTTCCCAGAAACCTAGAGAAAAGAGTATGAAGGAAGAAGGAGTGACCAGCAGTGTCAAAGGCTGCAGAGAGGCCAAGGAGAATGAGGATCCGGAAAAGGCAATTGGATTTGGCAACTAGGAGCTCATTAGTGACTTTGGAAAGAGCAGTTTTGATGAAATGACAAGGTGGGAAGACAGATTGTGAGGGATAAAGACGAGAGTAAAAGGAAAGTAGCAGCACCATAGAGTAGATGACCTTTTCAAGGAGTTTAGTTAACAAAGGGCAGAACAGATAGTGGATAATAGTTGGCCAGGATGGAAGGATCAAGTGAGGGTTTTTCAGGATAGGGGAGACATGGGCATGTTTGTAGACAGTAGGAAATGAATCAGTAGACAAGGAGAGATTGAAAATAAGTGGAAGAATGGGGATGACAAGAGGGGCTGGCAGAGACGCAGTGAGATGGGACTGCTTGAACAGGGTTAACCTTGGTGAGGAGTAAGGCCACTTCATCATGTGAGACAAGGGTAAAGGAGGAGATAATGGCAAAAGGCACCTGAGTGATAGGAGGTGAGGATGAGGAGAGAAGAGGAAGCTCATGGCATATGGATTCAGTTTTTTTTCTGTAGAATATGAGGCAAGGATCTCGGCTGGCGGGGATGGGGGGGGGAGAGGAGAAGTTTTTCTTAACTTTAAGCTGAACTGTGCTCTTGCAATTTCCACTTGTAGCTCCAAGTTCTACCCTCTGGTCAAGCAAAATTAGTCCAGCCCTTCTTTCATGTGTCCACACTTCACATACTTGAAGACAGCTTCTCTATCCTCAATTCCTTCAACTGCTCCGGTTGCCATCTTTCCAGCTTATCAATGTCCTTCTTAAAACACAGGACCCCAAACCCAACCCAAACACAATAACTCGGTTCCTTGGTGGGTCCTGATCCTCTGATCCCCCTGGCCTTTTCACATCGCCTCAGACTAGCTCTTCCAGGGCAAGAAAGAAAAAAGGCTGGTTTCCTTGAAGCAAACACACACAATGCGTTTTTCTTTTTATTGACTTCACTTGTGGCTGCTTTAAGTGGCAGTGTGTTTGTTCCCATGTTCTTTCCTCCTCTGTGTTATGATGAAAGATTAAAAGAAAATCAAATAAACATAAAAAAAAAAGATTTAGGATTTAATTTGCAGCTCTGACACCTTGCTTACTAGTCTGGGATTGTTAAGTTGTATAGGCAGAGGTATCAGCACATCTGTGCCACGTTTGGCTTCTAGAAATGAGAAGGAAGGATATATAGGCCTCACAGAGCCAAACAGAATCAACCAAACTTACTCCATTCTGGCCTTTTTGGGGGAGCATATCAACAAAGCACCCCACAACTCCCAGCCTCACTGAAAAGAGGTACCAGTTGGTCTTAAGAGGATGAGCGTAGGAATCTTTACGGCACTTCGACCCCCAGTCACAAGTTTTCCCAGGTCCTTACAGTCCACCTTCCAGCTAGATAAAAGGAGCCTTGTTGCTTACCTTTTCCCAGAATCTACACAGTATAGCAAAAGCAAATACTTTTCATCAGAGTAGTCATGTAAGCCAAAAGCTTCAGTGTTTGAATTTTCCAGACATTTGCATTCAGGTAAATGTGTTTGCTCCCCTGTTGGAACCCTTATGGAGACACAGACACACACACACACACAGACACACACACACACACACACACACACACACCCCACATCCAAATAAACAGCATCTGTGTACAGTGGCTACCATTTATTTTTTATTTCATCAGTGCTCTGGTCTTAATGGCTTCACATCATTATCCCAGAGTAGGACTAAGGTACCTGAGCATAGTTTTGGGCTCAATGTTCTCAGTGAAAAAGATTTATTTTTAAATACTTTTGTATAGAAAATATGAGAAAAAAGGTTTTTGGGGGGTGGGTTTTGGGACCTGTAAGGTTATCATATTAGATTTTATTTTTGTATACTTTTGAATAGAAAATATGAGAATAAAAATTTGGGGCTGAGTTTTGGGGTGTGCAAGGGTGTTGTTCCAATACATGTTTATGTTGAAGGAGTAGTACTGTGAAAAAAGCACAGGATTGGGACTGAGGAGACCTGTATTCTAATTCTGGCATTGCTAAGAAGAAGCTCTGTCATTGTGGGCAGGTCCTACCAGGGCTCTGTTTCCAGGTGAAATAAGTCGCCACAGGTTACCCAGCTAGTGTTAGGACCTGGATCTTCTGGCTCCCAGTCTGGCATTTTCTACTGTATCAAACTGCCTCCCTTTAAAACAAGGGGATTGAATTAAATGAACTATCAAGTTCTCTTTTTGCTTTTGAGTTCTGCAGTTCTTTGCACAGTATTCTTAAGGGGAAAAAAAGTCCACTCTGTGTTATTTTCCCCTGCAAAGGGAAGCCAGTGATGACCTGGATAAAATTCGGGGACCCCGTTTAGGCAAGTCCAGCATCTTTGGCCATCCCATAGAAGATGCCTCTGGCCATGATGAGATTTGTTGGAGAATCAAATTCTGCTATTGTCCCTTTGTCCAAAACCAGGACCCTGTGCCAGAGAAGGGAAAAGTCAGATGCTTATCAACAGCCAAATCCTCCACAAATCCCACTGGGTTGAAAATCAAGAAGCCTCCCCCCTTGCCCACCTGCCTTTGGGGAGCTGACACCAGGCCACACTGGGCTGGAGAAAAGATAACATACATCATTTCCCTGCATAGAAAGCAAGGTGGAGGATGCACCTCCTGTGCGCATGTGCGCGTTACAGATCTTTTTCTTTCCCTGTAAATGGGGTGATTTCAGGGATAAAACACAAGGCCTGATTCATCTCTGCCCGCTTAGCAGCTGCAATCTTGGCTAATGAGTCCTCTCCCTGCCCGGCTCCTCTCTGAACAGTCACGTGGTGCCGCAGGGGATGGGGAGAGGCTGCCCGGGTCGGTAGCTGCAAACCCCATCCCTTCTTTGCTTTTAGACCTCGTTCTTTCTAAAAGCGCACACACAAAGGCGGAGGGATTGCTAACGAATCCCAAACAGTTTCTTCTTCACCACGGGGAGGGAGCCCGGCTGCAGCATGAGGCCAAGCCGACCACATGTGCAGGGGAGGCCGCAGGGGTCGGCTCTGTAACTAAACGGGGAGTTGTCGCTGTGATTCCAGAGGCAGCGGCAAAGTTCTCCAAACACCCACCGGAGCGATCCCCCCCCCCCCCCCCCCCCCCCGCCTCCGCCTCCCGCTATTCTTCCCAGCCTGGCTGCTGCATTCTCTTATTCTCCCAGCTACCAGCCGGCTTTGTTCTGCCTCAGCCAGATGAATGACATCCTTGCTCACAATGAAGCTGCCTGGGGACAAAGAGCCAGGCAGGATTCAGGATGATTGCCACTGTCCACCTGTGCCCTGAGCCCAGGCCAGAGGAAAAGCCAGCTGGGGTGGGGGTGGGCCCAGCGGTAGGGGAGCAGGGAGGGAAAGAAGAGCCAGCATCTGGAATTTCTGGCTCTCCTTTTTTTCCCCAAGGGGGCCCTGCCCTGCTGCTCTCCATCTCTTTGGGAGAGAGAATCCTGAGCTGTGGCTTTTGCTCCTTTCTTGGGGTGGGGTGAGGAGAAGAATCTGAATATAGTTCCCCATTTAATCAGATGCACATCCTTGTTATCTCAACTCTCTGGAAAGATGTGCTTCTCTGTAAAGGAGATCCCACTTTTTCCACTACCACCAACCCTCATCTTGACCCAGGGGGATATAGGTTCCCGGGGTCCAAATAAGGGGGATAAAAATGCTTTCAAATGATATCTGAGAGGCAGTAAGATACAGTGGGCAAAAGGCTGGATCTTGAGTCCGAGGACTTATCTAACCCGTTGATTTCCTGTGTGACTTTGGATAACTCACTTAAACCTCTCTAGGCCTCAGTTTTCTCATCTGTAAAATGAGGTCAGATGAGAGATTCTTCTAGCTCAAAATCTATGATCCTGTGAGCCTCAACTGTTCTGGAAGTTGCCTCAGCCTCAAGGCTAACTCCACCACTCAGCTTCTTCTAATGACCACCCCTTATGTACAGCCCTGGCTAGTCAAGGGACTCCATGTCCTTTGGGGTTCCTCTGCTGGCCCAAAGAAAGTCACTGCCTGTGGAGAGTGAAAGATCATTGCTTCCTATTCTATGGGAACAATCCTCTTCCTACAAGAACCCGTAGCTGGAAACTGGTGACTGAACATTCTTGCCTTCAAACCTTTGCTCACACTCTCTCCTCTCCTTTCTATAATGTAATGGAAAAGCATTGTTTATTATATGCCCAGCACTGCTACATATAGAAAAGAGATAGATCCTGTTCTCAGGGAGCCCACACTCTAATTAGGTCAGATTGTTTAAAGGAGGGGTCATTTCATGGCAGATGGAAAAATCAGGAGATATTTAGTGTCTTCCAGGCACAGAAGACAAAGCCTCAAGCACCTCAGAGAGCAATGGCAGGGCAGTGGGTCTCCCCCACCATGCTTTCCTTCAGTCCTGATTCTCAGGCCATTTCCTCCTGCCACCTTGTCTCTCTCTCCCTTTCTCTCTCTCCCCTCCCCCTCCTCCCCCTTTCCCAGCAAGTGACCTTCCTCCACCCACCCCCAAGTCTGGAGCCAAGAACCATGATCACATACTCTGCTATTGTTCCTGGATGGGGTGTTTCAATATCTTCCCCTATTTGCTCACCAATTTTGTAACTTTCTGGACCAAAATGCCCCTCACTGGCCACCACTCCCTTTTGTATTTTGTAAGCTCTTTGAGAACAGGGATTGTCTTCATTTTTGTATTTGCATTTCCAGTACTTAACTCAGAACTTGGCATATAGTAATCAATCACTTAAATGCTTATTCATTCTTTCATTTATTGTTGGGAAACTGGCAGTGGATCCCAGGGTTGGAGTAAGAGAGGGGCTCTGAGTTATCTCTTGCAGAGGTGGGGGTGAGGGGGAGGGGCAGCATCCACCAAAAAAAGGTGTGTATATATACATACACATTATACACACGTATATGCACATAATAAACATTGTATATATGTACATACATGTGTATGTGTGTTAGTTGTGTAACTATGGACAAGTCACTTAACCTCTGTTACACACATATATAAACACATATATGTATACATGTGTGCTGGAGTAGGAGCATGAGTAGCCTTCCCTTACCCCCCCACCCCCGCCTCCATTAACCATCTCCTCAAGGCTCAGTTCCCGGCCCACCCAGCCTTCCCAAATAGCTCACAATGGGGGCTGTGTCCTCTGAGTTCCTATATCACTTATTGTCTGTATTACTCATTGGGCACTTAGCATAATAAGTACATTACACTGCAATTCATCTTTTCATGTATATGCCCTGTCTTTCCAAAGAGCATGAAAACTATCTAAGGGCAGAGACTGCATTTTTGTACAGATTCTTTTTTTTTTAATTTATAGAATAAAACAAGCATTTCCATAACAGAGTAATATTAAAAAAAAAAGATGATTGCATATGAAACTACAAATCTCCTATGCACAACTTGCTATTCCTTTCAAATTGTATAAATTCTTTATTTCTTTGCAGGTCTTTTACCTAGTAGGTGTTCAATAAATGGATATGGATATGATGATAACAAAAGAAACTTCCATTAAGAGTCTGCACCTCCCCCCTACCCAATATAATATTGTCTTGTTTTATTCGTTCACCCATATAATCCTCAATATTACCATGCCAAAATAAACCAAAATCTGAATTACAGAATCTAAAATATTGTCATATGCCTCTCACCTGGTGTAGTCCATGATGGTGTTGAGCCTGTGGGCGATGGTCAACACTGTACATCCCTCAAACTGGGACCGGATGGTGGCCTGGATGAGGCCGTCTGTCTCCAGATCAATGGCTGCTGTGGCCTCGTCCAACACCAGGATTCGACTTTTCCGGAGCAGGGCCCTGGCTAGGCACACAAGCTGCCTCTGCCCCACACTGGGGAAAGACAGGGGGTCTCACGATATACCCTAGCCCCCTCTGGTCAAGTACCTTCTCTACTTCCAATATCAATGCAATGCAATAATCTACAATCCTGACTCTTTGACCTCTATTTTCCAAGTAACAGCATGTCTCTCCCAGCCATTCTTGCTTACTTCACAGTATTCTGCAACTCACTTGGGCTGGAGCCTGGGAACAGTCACTGAGTCAGTCAACAAACATAGGTTATGCAATTGTGCCAGGCCCTATACTAAATACTACAGATACAAAGAAAGGGGGGGGGAGGTGAAACCACAGTCCCTATTCTCAAGGAGCATATATTCAAAAGGGGGAGATATCATGGAAAGAAAAACACGAAAGTTGATTCCCTGTGGCCAATATGGACTCTCAGCAAAATTGTGAAATCAGAAAGTTTGTTCTTGGGACATATCAAACCTTTTCCCATTAGAATGTAAACTCCTTGAAGGCAGAGACTATTTTGCTTTGGTCTTTGCATCCATAGTACAATGCCTAGCACATAATAATTGCTTAATAAATGTTTATTGATTAATTGATCAATACTCTGATATTCTCTCCTTTCTCTGATCAAAACCTACTTGCTGGTAAAAGACTGAATGCTAGCCATTTATACCTTAGTCTAAATAAGAGGAAGTCAACTGCCTTAGGTATTTTTCTTTAAGCCTTATCTCTCACTATGGAATGAAGACTGGGTTCCCTCTTAAAGAAATTGCATACATCTCCAGACCTATAAAGGAAGGTATTTGAAAAACCAGGGAAGACTTGATACCCCTGAAATCATAATACACAGGGAAATACAAGTGAAGTTTATCACAACTGTGGCCCTCTGTGTACATGTGTATACATGTACGTGCCGTGTATAACAGCAGTAAGGGTGAGGTCATGGGACTCTGGATCTGGGAAGAGATGAAGGTAGGTCTGGGCCTAAGTCTGAAAACTAGGCCACACCAACCTTTGACCTTGGCCTCTGAAGCCTGAGGATGAAAGAACAATCTCTTCAGTCTCAGAGGCAGCTCTTTCCCCTCCTGCCTAAGAGTACATTTCTCTTCTGTCTCTCAACTTGGATGAGTCACTAGTACTTGTAAGACAGCCAGGGCTCCTCTCTCTGCTGGCTGACCTCACCCCCAACTAATGAAGATTTTGGCTAGGGAGTGACAAATTGTGTACTAAATGGGGCTGATTTACAGGGTGGAAAGGTGGAGAAGCATCGGCGTAGGGCTTAAGCTGAATTTGCAGCATCTAGAAACTCAGGCGGGGGTGGGGGGGTGGAGGGGGTGGGAGGGTAGGAAATCTCAAAAAGAGAGCAACGATCTCCTCACATCTCCCCCAGGAAACTCAGAGTGGAAGGATTATCCCAGGGTACTATTCCAACCTGAGGGAATAATAATAATAATAATTATAATACCTACCATTTATAGAATGCCTACTATGTGCCAGACACTCTGCTAATCACTTTTCAAATATCTCATCTGATCCTTAAAACAATCTGAGAGGTAGGTTAGCATTTTACAATTAAGGAAGCAGAGGCTGTGATTTGCCCAAGGTTACAAAAAATATTTGAACCCAGTCTTCATTCCATAGTGAGAGATAAGATTCCTGAGACTTCTGACTCCAGAGGCCCAGTGCTCTATCCACTGTACCATCTAGCTATCTGAACATCTATCTCCAAAATCTCTTTCCTTTAAGTCTCCAGAGAAGGCTCCCTCTGGGTATACACCCAGGACCATCAGGAAGTTTTTTTCCTCTCATCTGACCCTTGCTTCATTTTTTTTTTTTGGGTGGGGCTAGGCATTAGGGCTAAGTGACTTGGCCAGGGTCACACAACTAGTAAATGCCAAATGTCTGAGGCCGGATTTGAATTCAGGTCCTCCTGACTCCAGAGCTGGTGCTCTATCCACAGCACGACCTAGCTGCCCTTCTTGCTTCTTTTCTAACAAAGGCATTTGAGCTCAGACTCAATAGGCTCAGAGATGAAAAGGTTGAAGAGACTGAGTCCATCCCCCTCATTGCACAGATGAGGAAACTGAGGCTTGGAAAAGTTAAATGACTTCACTGAATTAGGCAATGGGAAGTGCCCAGCATCTACTAAAGTGGCCTCATGTTTTAGAGAGGTGAAGAAGGACGGATGGGAAAGCAGCAAAAAAAAAAAAAAAAAAAATGAGAGAGTGGCACTGGAGTTATGGCTAGGGGACTGGGGTAGGTCATATCCACGCTTGTTCACACACCCTACAACATGTTTGCACAGGAGAAGTCAGGTTAGACTAAGTCTAAAAAGGCAGCCTGAAGGAAGGCAGTGTAGAAGAGATGAGGGGAGTATCTCATCCCTTGTTTGGCAGGGGGAAGAGAATTTTTTTGGGAATGATTATATGTACATAATCCTAGGGTCTTTTTTAGTACTAACTGCAGTCACTGCCATCTGACAACAAGCAGATGTGAGACAAAGCTGAGGCCTGGGGCCATCATCCCAAGGGCTATTATGGAGAAGGGTAAATTGGCAATTAAGCTCATTATTATTAATTAAGCTTATTATTACCTGACTGCTAATATAAGACAGACACCATGCTGTTTACAAATATTATCTTATTTGATCCTCACAGAGAAGTAGATGCTATTATTATCTTTGTTTTACAGATAAGGAAACTTTGACAGACAGAGGCTAAATGACTTGCCCAGGGTCACACAGCTAGGAAGGGTCTGAGGCTGGATGTGAACTCAGGTCTTCCTGACTCCGGCCCATGGTTCTAGCCACCTTGTTGCCTCTACCCTGAGTGCAGCCCTACATGGAGTAATCTTTTCTTTCTCCTCCTTCTCTTTCTCTTATCTCCTTCACCTTCTCCATCTCCTTCTCCTCTTTCTCCTTCCCTTTCAAAAGTGAACAGTGCTGAGCACATGTTGTTCAGTCATTTTTCAGTTGTGACCCCATTTGGGGTTTTCGTGGCAGAGTTAACGGAGTAGTTTGTCATTTCCTTCTCCAGCTCATTTTACAGATAAGAAAACTGAGGCAAACAGTGATTTACCCAGGTAATAAGTGTGTGGTCAGATTTGTACTCAGGTCTTCCTGATTCCAGTCCTGGCATTCTATCCACTTTGAGAAGTCCCAAGTGGTTTTCTAATCCAGCCACAAGCTTCTGTGCCAGACTTAGACTGTTGTGTAAAATAATAATTAATAGGAATAACTGATATTATGGGGGCAGATAGGTGGCACAGTTGATAGAGCACCAGGCCTGGAGTCAGGAAGACCTGAGTCCAAATCTGGCCTCAGACACTTACTAGCTGTGTGACTCCAGCCAAGTCATTTAACACTGTCTGCCTCAGTTTCCTCATCTGTAAAATAAGCTGGAGAAGGAAATGGCAAATCACACCAGTATCTTTGCCAAGAAAACCCCAAATAGGGTCACAAAGAGTCAGATATGACTGAAACAAGTGAACTACCGAAAAATAACTGGTATGACACACCCTGTTAACAAAGATAATAAGTATTGGAAGTAGGATTTGAATTGTGGGTCTTCCTAATGACCAATCCATGTACTATTCCATTAGCATGTTCAAATATCTAGAGACATTCCTAAAAGCCTCCAGGTGAGACCAGTCCCTTGGGGTCATGCCCTGGCTATGAGGAAGTGTTCCCTCTTATCTAATCTTATCTCCTTCTTACTTAAACGAGCAATTTCAGCTCAGGCCCCAGTGAAAAGTCAAGCATAACCCCAGGCATTGCTCAAAATCCGGAACTATCAAGTTTAAAGGTCAAAACTCTGAAACTGCCTTGGGCAAACATGATCCCTTCCCTGCCACTGTGGAACAGATGGGCACAGGGAGGGCTCAAGAAATCACCCGACCCGGGTGAACAACTATCCCAGACTCAGTAAGTATAGGGGAGGGGGAGGTACTGTTTCAGAGCTGCCCAGGAGCTTGGGATTCTGGTCCATTTGTCCTAGAGTCTCCAGCTTTCTTACCTAAGGTTCTCTCCTCCCTCAGAGCATTCAAAATCAAGGCCCTGTGGCTGTGACCCCACAAACTTGTGCAGGCTGGAGAGTTCCAAGGCTTGCCACATTTCCTCATCAGAATACTTGCCAAAAGGATCCAGGTTCATTCTAAGTGTCCCCGAGAACAGGACTGGGTCCTAGGGAGACAAAGGAACATCAGTGAGGAACAATGATAAATCACTTTAAGGCTTGCAAAGAATTTAAAATACATTATTGTCAACTGACCATCGTAATAAATTGATAGGTAGATGCTATTATTATCATTATCCCTATTTCACAGATGAGGAAACCCAGCTTCAGAGAAGTTAAATGGATTATTTGATTATTTGATTTATTAAACTTATTGTAATTAATTAAGCTTGTTGTTATTATTTTTTGTTGTTGTCCAGTCACTTCAGTTACATCCAACTCTTCATGACCCCATTTGGGGTTTTCTTGACAAAGATAATGATTTGCCATTTCTCCAACTCATTTTACAGATGAGGAAACTGAGGCAAATAGAATTAAGTGACTTGCCCAGGGTCACACAGCTATTAAGTATATGAGGCTGGATTTGAACTTGGGAAAATGAGTCTTCCTGACTCTAGGCCTGGTGCTCTATCCACTTCGTCACCTAACAGCCCTACTATTTGTTATTATTATTACCTGCCTACTCACTGTACTAAGCACTTTACAAATATTATCTCATTTGATCCTCACAACAACCTGAAAGCTATTGTTATCTCTGTTTTACCAATGAGGAAACTGAGACAGACAGTGACTTGCCCCAGGGTCACACAGCTAGTAAGTGACCAAAGCAAAATTTGAACCAGGTCTTTCTGACTCCAGGTTTGATACTTTATTCCTTACACTATACCACCTCTATGAATCAGGTGCCGGTCTGGGGACCCACTGAGCCCAAAACAAAAGCTGAAGAGAAGGGAAAGGAGAGAGTAAACGAGGTCAGTGCAATTCCATCTTCTTAGAATTGAAAAAGCAGCTAGCCCAATAGAAAATCTCCCAGTGAATCCTGGCCCCCCACGCCCTGCATAGCTGCGATAAACCCCAACTCGAACATCCCTTGCCAATCACAAAGTCTTCTTGTTAACCAGGAACCATGAGCAGCTTAATCTGACTCCAAAATGTCCAGTCAGCAGACAACAAATCCCAGGAAAGCCAGAGGGCAGAAAAAAAGTTACACAGATGTCCAGTCTGTGAGACTGAGACGCAGAGAGACTGGCAGAGACAAAGGTGAAGTAGAGAGACCCACAGGCCTCTTCCTAGGGAACATGCATCCCGTTCTCTGAGCAGGACCCAGGGCCCTATCTGCTATCCAAATCCACAGCCCTGCTGTTCCCCAGGTTTCTCCTTCTACAATTTCCTCCTGCTTCATCCCCTTCATAAAGAGCTACACAGCCTACTCAACACACAGCAAAGTCTGGGAGTCAGAGCACCCAGGCCAGAGGCAATATGGTCAGTCCCTTAGACTATGGTCAGTTCCCTAGGCTTATAGGGCCTAGGTTCAGCATAGTACAGTGGAATATGTGCTGGATTTTGGAAGGGACCTGGGTTTGAATCCCAATTCTGCTACTTTAGCTGTGAGACCTTGGATAAGTCATCTAACCTCTGTTTCCTCATTTGTAAAAGAAGCGGGTTGAACCAGATGGCCTCTAAGATCCCTATTATCTCTAAATCTATGATCATGTGTTGGCATCGGTTCCCCATGGCTGCTGAGAGGATAGTTTATCTGATCCTATGGCAGGTAAAAGAACATGGTCCCAGCTGTGAAGGATGCCTTGTACCTGGGGGATGATGGTTAGCATGGAGCGTAGGTCATGGAGGCCAATGGATGCAATGTTGACTCCATCGATGAGGATCTCTCCCTGAGCTGCCTCCAGGATACGAAACAGGCAAAGGGTCATGGACGATTTGCCAGCCCCAGTTCGTCCCACAATTCCAACCTGGGGGATAGCGGCAAGGAGACATGGAATGGTGAGAGAGTAATGCTGTTCTGGGGAAAGGATACGGAGAGTGCAACAGACGCCTTGGAGCCCTGAACTCCTTGAACCTTAGAGCACTAGATGAAGGGGAGAGAAAGAATCCGGAACAGGGACACTGAGTCTACAAGCATCCCCTCTTTCAGAGCTGCATTCACGGGGGATGCATTATGTAATCCTTGTTGCATATCCCCAGCATGCGACTCTGAATAGCATTGTGCCAGGCCCAGGGGCCTTACTTACCTTTTCTCCACCCTTCACTCGCAGACTCAAATTCTTCAGCACCAGCTCCAAGCCTTCCCGATAACGCACTGAATAGTTCACAAACTCCACCTCCCCTTGATGGGGCCAGTCAGGAGGTGGGCGGCTGCCCTCAATCACCCAGGGGGCCTTGGGGGAGAGATGAGGAGGAGAGACAGCAATGAATAGACACCTTCATCTGGTTCTAAGATTCCTCAACTCCTCTCTATTTTCCCAGGGCATCAGCTGCTTTCTAGCTTGCTTGACTTTCCTCTCTCTCCTCTCCCTGCCCAGCCTGGATGCCTTATAGTCATCCATTTTAATGAGACTCAAATATGCTAGAATTTCTTATTCCCTCACCAACCACTGGACTTAACATACCTAAACATTCCGCAACCCTGCTCAACAATACAGACTGCGGAACACTGCTAGGGGAAATTACAAAAATATGCTGACTGAGCCTGATATAAATTCATGCTTTCCAATCTGGGAATCCATTTCTACATCTCTTATTAAGTAAGTTGCTATCCCCATTCCCCGCAGCAGCTGCTCCAAACCCTCTGGTATCTCCCTCCCAGATGACCTTCCTTTCTGGAAGACACAGAGTGCATCCAGTGCAGGCTGTTTGATGTTTTAGACAGCTAGGTGGCACAGTGGAGGGAATACCTGGCCTGGAGTCAGGAGGACCTGAGTTCAAATCTAGCCTTGGGCACTAACTAGCTATGTGACCCTGGGTCAGCCACTTAACTTCTGTTCGCCTCGGTTTCCTCAACTGTAAAAAGAGGCTAATAATAGCACCTACCTCTTAGGGTTGTTGTGTAGATCAAATGAGATAATATTTGGAAAGGGCTTAGCACAGTGCCTGGCCTATGATAGGCCCTATATAAATGCTTATTCCCTGCCTCCTTCATCTTTCCACCTGTCACCACACCCTTCCCACCACCTCAACAGTTCTCTTTATCCTTGTCTCAGAGAATAAATTGATTCTCCTCTCTTCCCCCCCCCCCCCCCCCCCAATGCCAAAGCTAAGACCTCAACTGGGCTCTTATTACTTCTTCTCTTCCCTGGGACCTTAATCTATCCATTACCCCCTCTTTCTTTGGGCAGCTGGGTGGCACCCTGGGTAGAGTACAGGGCCTGAAGACAGGAAGACTCACTTTCCTGGGTTCAAATCCAGCCTCAGATACTTACTAGCTGTGTGACCCTAGGTAAGTCACTTAACCCTGTTTGCCTCAGTTTCCTCATCTGTAAAATGAGATGGCAAAGGAAAAAGATACTCCAGTATCTTTGCCATGAAAACCCCAGATGGGTCACAGAGAGTTGGACATGACTGAAAATGACTCAACAACCAGACCCTTCTTTCATGTCTTTTCTTTTCTATTTTTTTTTAAATTCTGAACTTAAACACCAAATAAATTGGTCATTTCCATATACTTAGTAGGAGAGAAAAAGAAGACTCTACATGAAATTACAGGTCTCTGTTTTGTATAGCTTTCTTTTCAAGTATATAAGTTCAACCTGTAGCTTTCAAAGCTATCCTGCTTATCGATGCTTCTTCTTGACCTTCCTTCTATCCTCTTCCCTTGTTTTAAAAAAAAAATGCCTTAGGACAGCTGGGTGGTGTAGTAGATAGAGCACCGGCCCTGGAGTCAGGCCCTGAGACCTGAGTTCAAATCCGGTCTCAGACCAAACACTTGACACTTACTAGCTGTGTGACCCTGGGCAAGTCACTTAACTCCAATTGCCTTGCCAAAAACAAAAAAATGCCTTGATGATCCTCTTATCTTTACTTTTTTTTTGCTACCCTATCTCCATCCCCTCTTCCCCCCAACTTGACCTCCCACCCTGTCATTGGAAGAAGAAAAAGAACAAGAAAAACAAAGCCTTTGTAACAAATATGCATAGTCAAGGAAAACAAATTCCCACACTGGCTGTGTCCAAAAAGGGTATGTCTCATTCTACATCTTGAGTCCATCACATCTCTCAGTCAAGAGGTGGGTAGCATGTGTTATCATTAGGCCTCTGGAATCATAGTTGGACATTGAATTATTTAGAGTTCTCAAGTCTTTCAAAGTTTCATTTCAACATTTATGGAATATCTTCTGGATACAAGGCCTGGGGAAGGATACAAAGGCAAGTTCCTACCTTTGAGAAGTTTATATTCTACTAGAAGGCCAATAATAACACCAGTAAGTATATTTATGGCAATTTCAGGAATGAGAAAGTACTAAATGACTGGGAGATGTGGGAGAACCAGGAAAGACTTCATGTAGCAGGTGTTGCCTGAGATGAGCTTTGAGGGAAATTAGGGATTCTGAGATTCTAACGTGAAGACAGCCCAGGTAAAGACACAGTTATGGAATGCCTGGTTCAGGGAACCATAAGGTGGCTGGAATATGAAGAATTCAAAGGTCAGCAATAGTAAATAAGTCTGTAAATGTAGGTGGGAGTCACATGGTAGTATAGGACTTTAGGTCCCAACTGATGAGACTGTATTTTATTCAAGACGCAAAATGGATTTTTGAGTAAAAGAATGACATGATCAGAAATGTCTTAGAAATACTAATTTAGTAGCTGCACGAAGGATAGATAGATTGCTTTCTTTCGGGTTACTAATGGCTTCCTAATCACCAAATCCAACACCCTCTTCTCAGGCTTCATCTTCATTGAATTCTCTATGGTATTTGGCACTATTGAATAACTACTCTTTCCTTTCTGAAAGTTTCCAGCTTTGGCTCCCATGGCACCATACTTTGCCAGTTCTTCACTGACTCCTCTTCCTACCTCTTAATCTTGGTTATCTCTTCTTCCCTCTCTATCTTCTCTCCTTCAGGGATCTTTTCCATAGAATATGATAGCTGGAAAGGATGTCAGAGGTCATTATGTCCAACCTCTCACCTTTCAAAGGCATTTCTTCTGTGTCATCCCTGACAGATAGTCACCCAGCCCCTTCCTATTTGAGTTCCTCCAGTTAGAGGGAGCTCAGTCCCTTAAACTTCCTCCATCACTGAACAGTTCCAATTATTAGAGATTTCTTAGGTTGAACTGAATTTTGCTTCCCTGTGATCTCCATCTTTGTGCTCTGCTAGCCACAAAGAACAGAATTTACTTTCTCTTTCTTCCATAGAAGTTCTTCAAATATTTTCATACAGTTACCATTTTTTCCAGAAGTGGTCAAACCAGAGTAGAGTATGACATTATTTACTTCCTCGTATTATCCTTCTAGCCATACTTCTATGAAGGTGTCCCTCAAGTGTGTGGATTTTTAAAATTATTTATTTATTTTTAGTTTTAAACATTTGGATTTTTTTTTTTTTGAAGCTACATTCATTTATTCGCTCATCCATTCACTCAATCACTCACTTAGCATTCATTTATTAGATGTAAAGATCAATAAAACTAAGTTGCTATCGTGGGTACAACATTGTAGCTGTCTCACATTGTTACAAATATTTATATCATGCTTTCTTTGTACAGAGTCCTTTACTAAGCACAGAAGATATAAAGTTTAGATAAGACAATGTCTCAGCCCCAGAGGAATTCAGTCTTTAGAAAATTAAGCTTGTCATTAACAAAAACTACCAGATCCTAATCTTGTGAACCAGAGGCCAAGTTACCTCTCTTCCACCCTGTACTTGTGAGATCAATTTTTTTTAACTTAAAGTCTTTTTTAAAAAAAAATTTTTAAAAGAAAGTCTTGATATGAAACTCTGCTACATTTTGTCTTACCGACTTCAATCAGTTGTGACTTCCTACTTCTTTCTTTTTTTTTTTTTGCCTTTTGGTGAGGCAATTGGGGTTAAGTGACTTGCCCAGGCTAGTAAGTGTCACGTGTCTGAAGCCGCATTGGAACTCAGGTCCTCCTGACTCCAGACCGGATCTCTATCCACTGCGCCACCTAGCTGCCCCAACTTCCTACTTCTATGACTTACTGCCACCACCTTAGTCTCCCAGATGCAAAACCTCCAAGTAACCTCTGATTTTTCTCCCTACCTCTTTTTCACATCCAAGCCTTCTTTCCTTCACCATGTCTATGCTGTTCATCCTCTCCTTTTCATTCCCAATGCCTTCAGGTGACTTCCCCACCTCCGTATCTGTTTCCTCTCCTTGTAATGCCTTCTTCCTGTGCATTTGTCTACTGAAATTTCATCCTTCAAAACCCATCTGAAATGCTGCCTACTCAAGGATACCTTTGGTGATCACCCCAGCCAGAAGTGAGCCTTCTCTCCTCTTAACTCCTATAGGAGTGCATCACTTAATTGGCACTTAGCTCATTCTATTATGTAGTATAGTGCATTACAATTGTCATATTGTTACTCAAAGGAGACTGTAAACTCCTTGAAGGGCAGGGACCATGTCTTATACACTGTTGTTTAACCCCATGACATACAGTACAGAGTCTTCAACATAGTAAAGTATAGAAGTAGGAGATGGTCTGGAGCTCAAACATTGACCCAGCTGCCTTTGGGCTCCTCCCTGCAACCTGATCAAACCCAGCCCCATCCCCTTTCCTGACCCCAGATCGGCAGCACGTCCCCACCTCAGTCTTAGTCTCTGAGTACTCTCTAACTCTCTCCACAGCCACGATGTTGTTTTCCAGGTCTGATGCCATCCGGACCATCCAGTTAAGAGACAACGTAACCTAAGGGAAGGAGAAAGCAGGGTGTTAAAAACATCCCAACCCCCTTCCCAAGTTTCTTCCGGCTTCAAGTTGCCAGCAATAACAAAGGCACTTGGAAGTAAATGTATTTGTCTTTCTGTATAAATCTAGGGACCAAGGCACAACTCTAAAACTCTAAATCAGAGGCATACTCTGATTTAAGCAAATAAACTCCATGATCATCTGGATTGAACATAGATCAATTAACCTGAAAATTTTACTTTACCAAAGAATTCACAATAAGACTTCTCAAAAGAGAAGTATATGTCACTCATTTAAAATATCCACTTCATAAAAACTTCTTTTGCCTTAACTTTTTGATGACACATCTGTTATATAAAGCAATCCCTACCTACACAATTACAGACAGGTATGTCCAACCACATGTGTGTATTTTGAGTTCAAGCATGTATGTTACTCTGTTCATGTGGGCAGGCTGGGAACCATGACATGTGTGACCATATGTATGCATGGAAGGTACATTGTGGTCCTAGCCCTCTGGCTGTTAGTGCCCGCTCGTGTCCCCCCCCCCCCCCCCCCCCCCCCCCCCCCCCCCCCCCCCC